GCTAGTTGACTCCCATAACCTAAGATTCAGCCTGGCTTCAACAAGCGAATCCAAATCGACAAACTGATGGCGTGCGAAGACATAACTAGAATAGTCAAGGTACACGAGACTTGGTGCATTAAAAAGCATTGAATCGTGATCCTCTTGAAAATNCGGAAGATCGNTAAAAACTACAAGCCGCTTGATGGATTTATTTTCCACTCGCGTACTGCAACATGGCACACAATATTGATCAGCTTCAGTAATCGACAAGTCTTCCAGGANAGGGCAGCCANCGAGGAGCAGAACATAATCGNGAAAATCAAGCGCTGAAACTGATAAGAGAGAAAGTGATTTGAGCACTGGNAAAGACACGNNCTTGAACTCAAANTCNTACCAATATGCACAGGATAGTGTGAGCTTAACCAGCNTGTTGCTCGTTAACAAGTCTCTCTTTAAGAAAACACAAGTATAGCGTCTGGTTGCGTGCAAGTGTAGTTCCAATAAACCACGTTCCATTGCAGTATAAATCCAACGGTAAACACGATCGTAGTCACTAGCACAGCCACATCTAGGTAAGTGAGACAGAGAGATTTTCTTGATAGGAGAATTGCGTAACAGAACAAATGTTTTCTCCACGAAATCACAGAAGCTAAGTGAACCACTCTTTGCTTCTTCTTCGTTGGCATACACAACCATTGACTCATCAAAGCAAAGGGTGTCTACAAGACAAAGTAGATTCCTCCACCTCTTGGACAGAACCGATGTGGAAGCAGCCACTTTTGTCGGAAGTAAAGACAGGATTTTGCCAANAATCTCATCTGGCAAACTGCTTATCGAATCTCTACAACCTAAACCCATAAATTAGGGATTCAATTTNACCTACTACACACTAAAACTCGATCAGGGTCACAAATTCCTGTAGATTGATTTTTTCAATTAAACAATAGAACCGTTTCAATCCTAAAAAAGGAAAGCAAACAAAGCCCAGAATCAAAGATAGAACCTTTAGATCGATGGAGTAAGCAAAGGAAAAACTTACGTCGCAAAGGAGACGAGGAAGATAAAAAAAAAGCTTGCTTTGCTTGACCATAACGCAAAGCGTTTTATAAGACCAAAAAAATTGTAAATTTTAATGTTTTTGGTTAAATATTTTTCCCTTTTTATTATTTTGCTTGTTCTAAGCAAGAATCTCTCTGATTGTGTTTCTCTCTGTTCCCAAATTTGACTCAAATGCTTTTTTAGCTTTCAACGTTTTAAAGAAAATATGTATTCTCTATTTGACAGTGTACAATACATGATGATCCAATCCTGTGGAAGTTCAAGAACATATCTTGAATAAATGGAACAAAACAATACATATAACAAAGACTCGAGTATGTATGGAGATTTTTAAGCCACAAGCCACATAAAGAATGTAGGCCAAACCGTGAGTGAAATCGAAGCCAAAGCGTAAGTCCAAAGCAAAATCACTGAGCATTCACTTTCTCCAGCTCCAAATAACTGAGTAATTGTACCTACAAAGCAAAGCAAGTGAATAAACTCATTTTTATCTAACGTTGTCACTTATCTGATACACACATGTAACTAACCAACCTAGATTCATTGCTGGTGGGACTGCATATTGAAGAAGCAGAACGAATTGGTATAATGGTTCCGAGGTAATCAAATCCAACTTATACGCTCCTCTTACGATTAGAACACCGCTTATTGGCAGAAAAATGTAACGTGCAACCAAGACGCCAATAATGCTGGATTTTTTCATTCCTGAACTTCTCATACCTTTGAGTAAGTTTCCTCCGATAATCAAGGTCATAGCAGGAATGGCTCCATCTCTTTAAGCCAAAAAAAGAAACAAGAAACTCGATTAATCTTTCGGGTAAAAGAGTCTTCGAAAAGATTGTTCTGTTTTTAATTACCCCACTAGAGTTACTGATTCTTGAAACACCCGGAGAGGAGCTAAGTTACCGATCATTAGCTTCCTTAACGGAGTAATGAGTCCGATGAAAAGCGCGATCATCTAAACACAAAAACAGAAAAAACATAAGAAATATTACATATGAATATCTTGAACGGTTAAAAAGAGTCAATGAAACACAAACCGCTGCAATAGTTGATGGAGCAAATATTGTNTTAAGGTTAACTTTCTCCGAAAATGAAACCATTCTTAGCTTGACCTTTTCCCACTTCCCAACCTGTCACACACACACTTACTCACTACCAACACTGGTCATGAATAGTTTTATTGATCAAAGTGATTATACCTTTTGGTTGTCTTCTTCCTTGGAAGAAACTAATGGAACTTTGTAGCTATCGTAGTTTGATTCAATAGAAGGTTGGATGGTTTCAATAGGAGAGCTCGATAGTACACGCATAAGATTGTATATGTACGTCCATATGTAAACCGATCCCATCTGATACACATACCAAGCAAGTGTTATAACACATACACCGATAAAACCTTAAAGAAGAAGAGAAAGATGAAAACTTACAGCCATGGAGAGTGCAACATAACCCATTCCATATTTCTGGCAACTCTCAGGATCTCCAAAAGGACCTCCTTTTTCTTTACAAATTGCTGGGATTATAATTAGTGGCATATTCCCCAAATTGCCTGTTTGTGGGTTTGGTTAGTTTCATTATAAATCACACACTCATAAACCAAAAACAGAACATACATATCATGTTAGAGGGTTTTGTTACCAGCAGCACAAGAACCAACAATGAGACCACGAAGATGCGTAGGAGGTTTAGTGATGACAATAACAATCCAACCGAATAACGAACCAAAGACGAATGTAAGCAGAACATTAATCGGCATAAACCACCTGTATAACACACAAAATCATCTTTTCATTATAAAACAAGAGAGACCAAAATNTGAAGAAAAAAAAACTTNAAANGTGAATNGAATTCAATTTCACTTACATTTTGACCAAGCTTTCATATGTAACACTATCAGCTAAACGACTTCCAATAAGTGAAGGACTAAACACATAGAAGACAATCTATATATACATAC